GGGGGGTGGAGTTGGAGATCCTATTCAAGGAAAAAGAAGTGAAAAGGCAACGACCGTGAAACGACCGATCTCCAAATTACAGACAACAAATTTTCCTATCCCATTACGATTATTAACACGTAAAAACAGGATGAGTAATTCCCATATTTTTTTGTTGAAATTGAATTAATATGGAAAGAATGGAATTACAAAAGAACTACTTTAGTGCTACTCACAGTGTAAAGCTTGCCAATTTGAAAGCCAACGGATATCAGCTCCTGATTATTGACCGATGTCAAGCAGAAACATCCCTGCTATCATGATTCTGACTATAAATAACAAATAAACAGTTCAAGAAGGTGGGCTAATTTAGGCACTATGAAAAATACTAAATTGGAGCCTTAAGAGGAATAGTATTGTTAATTTAATCACCTAGATTTAAGCGATTAATTCGTTTTTTTGTCTAAATTTGCAGGCGTCTTAATTCCAGTTTTTCGTCCTTGGGCACCACATTTAAAAGAAAATAGAGCTAATTGGGGCAAGGAACTGGAGCAGTTGGAGAAAGAAAATGGTGGAAAAGGGAAAGAACTCGAGAGTGAGGAACATTCCAAGATCAATGAAGACACTGACGCACCAGGAAAAGTAACTCAAAGCACGAAATCTACTTCAGAAGCGGAGGAAGATGGCAAGGAGTCGGTGAGAATTGAACTAGACGACCGATTGTCAGATGATCTTGAAAGTATTGACTTTATCGATCGTGATGGGGAGGATGAGAAGGAAGTATCTGCATGAATTTTACACCCCAACTACAAGTTAAATATTCATAATAAGAATTCCTATAGTGATAATGCAATCCAAATGTCATGAAATATATATGTTTGACCTCCTGTTTTACAAATTTGTTGAAGATTGAGAACCTCTTCATTTGTGCATTTTACAATTAGAACCAAAGATGCTCTTATTAGGCCTGAAAGTTAAACCATGCAAAATTCACGGGAATATTTATTATTTATTTCAAATGCCAGGCGTTTTGACAGCTATCATTAGCCATTTAACTGACTTCAGGCTTCACAGAGGGAAGGTTCATCAAAGTAGAAGAAAGTCGATGGGTGGGGTACAGAAAAGCGATTCACAGATGTAAAAGAGGCAGACAGACACAAAGGTAGAGAAAAAGGTAAGATGTTTACTGTGAAAGGGGTCGAATATAGCAAGCAGTCGGGCCATGGTAGTTTGAAGTCAGAAGTCTTTTTTTTGCCGTATGAGTATACGTTGCCCAGGGTGCACCACGAGGAGGTAAGTCTATTGCACACCCCATCCACGGGAATACATAGTAAGTTAATTTGTTTATGTCAAGTCCCTCACACAATTCGAGCAATTAATTTATTTATGTCAAATGGCAGGCGTCTAGATGGTTATCATTAGCCCTTAAATTGATTTCAGGCTTCATAGATGAGAAAGAACATCAAAGTGAAAAAAAGTCGAGAGGGGAGGCGGGGGGGGGGGACAGAAGTGTTTCAAAGACAAAGGTAAAAAGGTGGAAAAAAATCTGAGGTAAGTACTGTGGAAGTAGTCGAATATGACATACAGTAGGGTGGTGGTAGTTTATAGACCGAAGTTAACTGCTGATTAATAGACATTTTTTGCGGTATGAAAATACGTTGCCCAAGGGTGCACCAAGTGGGGGTAAGTCTATCGCGCACCCCACAATTCGAACAATGGTGCAATGAAATCCATCCTAATATTTTCCACGCAATTTATTGAAGTCCTTTCCTGTGCTGGATGTTCTATCATTGGTATTCATTATCCACTCACCCTCGCCGTTAATGCCCTACCTCTGCTTTACAATAAAATGTAAGATGTGAAGTATGGATATTTAAGTCACACAATGAAGTTGCAGTAGTAAATTAACAATAGTATAAAGACAGCCTATGGCCAATTGAAAGTCACTTTAATGTTGGCTAAATACATTTGGATCTCTTCAGTGGCTGGCAGCAAAGATTAATACCGTTGATTTGGAATTTCTTTATCGCCATGACAATGACTACTTATAATTGAATTTGTCAGAATAACTATTTGTCTATTGTAGCGGATTGCTACACTATTAAAGCCTGACTGACTCAGAAATCTCTATGGCAGATTCTCTATATCTAGCTAGACTCCCAGAACCAGCTAAGCTATAGCCCAGCTATGAAAGGAAACAGACGTGTAGCACGGAGCACGTTTATTCAGGACGTATATTGCGGATCAAGTGTACACGTAGGGGGCCTAATCATGATCAGGATGCAGGATTAGGTTAAACAGAGGTTGATGATTGGTCACTGTTTGTACGGTCGCTGCACACAGAGTTGTACGGTCGCACCTCCTAATCCTGGCGAGCAGACATGCAGGCATACGGTGACGCGGAGTGAAACGTGTCCCATACTATCACTACTAATATATTTAACTATAAATAACAAATGTGATTTGTTTCTCATTCTCTCACTAACAAAGATCCTCTGAAACTACGCCTATTTGCATGTTTTCCATTAAGTGTCATGCACTCAAATTTAAATTACTGACTTCTGAGTTAAATTGCAGGAGTAATCGGTATTTCATTAATAAAACAATTATTTCTAAGATTTAAAGGCCTGTAAATATAATAACTGAATTACTTTAATTATTATTGGAATCACAATGCATTTGATAAGGGGTGACATTGATTTATCGATCAAATTGTTTTATTAATTTATATATAAATTTTAAAATGTGTACCTGCTCGGTCCTATTGTTTCGAAACATTTGGAATATCGTGTCCAAATATGTTCTGCATAAACCTGTTGAACCCTTTATCCACGTCTTCTTAAAAAAAGACATAATACAACTCCACACCCCACTTTAACGACAATTAAAAGGTTGTGCTTTGTTAACTATGTCTACCTTTACCTTCACCATAGGCAAAAGTTCATTTCGAGGCTTGTGATTTTAACGCCCTCGAAGAATAGTAATAACAGATTAGGGCATTGTGTGTAAAATCGATAAGTCATGTGAGATCTGAATGCTATTGCACATGACCTCCAGACGTGAGAACATAGGGTATGTTTGCATGGCACCAATCACTAGTTCAAACAAAAAGCGGGAAGTCTAAAAAGTGCCGCCTTCACAATATTTTTCACTATGGAATAGAAATTAGACGAAGCATTTAATCCCATAGGAATGAGTCAGTTGGATTAGTTGCTACTTAACGTGTTAAGATATTTTTAGTTCCTCAGGGCTTAGCAACCTCTATGACATCAAAACCGAAGGGAGGTGTGGCGAGAGGGGGGGGGGGGTTCTAAAGAGGAGTATGTTTCTCTAGAAGGGAAGTGTAGTTTAAGCGGTAGAAGTGAGATTCTAGGAATCAAGACTGTGACAGAGTTAAAATCTACTCTGATGGCAATATTATTACACTGGGCTTGTGCATCTCATCACAATGTCCGGTCATAAAATAGAAAGATTCTTTTTGCAAGTAGTAGAGTGAGCAATCAGTCGGCTTAATGCACCCGGTGAAAGTGAGGTAATTATTGCGAAAGTTACGTGAACCTGAAGTCAACATGACAAAGGTAGCACAACCAATAGGAATGAAAGTAGCAAACTGTACATTTTAACATCGCAAATAATTGTAGTTTTTGATATGTTTGGTAATTTTAAGTAAAAGCCACTTGATTAAGTTTTCGTTTCGAGACTTGAAGCGAAGTGTTCAAGGCCGCATTTCCTTGCAACAAAACCTAACATTATATGACTCAAACTACTGGATCTGACCCCAAGATTGTAGAACGCAAAAAATTTGTAGTTTGCCTCGTTATTCAAATGCATGTACATGCTCTTAGTGTTGGTCAAATTGTATGTAAGTTATGACATAATCTTAAAGGATCCACGCGTTATTGGTTCTACCTCAATAACGAAAAATTCCGGCACCAGGAATCTAAGCAAATAGATTTCAGGCTTAAGCTACAACAATAGCAAACGTATCTAGGGAACAGATAAACATGAAACCAGAGGAGCAATAGTCTCACAACAAGGAATTTTAGGTCAGCGAAAGTTGGTAGGATTCGCAACATTAATAAAGAAAGCGGATTTTGTAATTGATGATAGAAGTTTTGGGGAAGAAGAACTCAAACATTTAGATCTTTTCGAATAACGTAATACATCCAAATTTTATCGCCGATTAATGTAGAAAGACACGAAAACCTCTTGGAAGTAAATTAAATAGCCATTTCTTGAAAATTAAGCACGCGAATAACCCCCCCCCCTCTGATCTCACCAATCATATTGAAATTTGGAGAATTAATTGACCACAGATGAGTTTGAAAGCTGTTTGCGAGTAATGCTAATAATGACTTAGTTGCTTGAATAAGATAAAAATTAATTGGACCATAAAAGTGGCGTTAGTTCACGTCATCATTTTAATGTTAATACCAGTGAATTGTTTGAGTTAGTACAAGGTGAATTAATTACATGATATATAACTGTGAACTCTTAGTTAAAATTCATAAAAGAAATAATGAGTCTGATCAATGTGCTATTTAAGTGTAGGATTCCGGCGCACATTTTGGTGAAACCTTATCTATATGACTTGAATTTTGTGCAATATACTAAATAATATGGCATGACTTTTCAAAAAAATCATATATCAACCTTCCTAATATAACTTCCTATTTTTTTAAAAAAAGCAGGCATCCAACGCTTCTTGAATTGTTGGTGTTATGATAGTTAATTTACAGAACACTGATTTTATAAACTAGCAGAAAACTAATGCCAAATGTGGAGCTCATTTATATACTACTGTTCCCAATGTAAATAAGATCCCAAGATATCAATCTGAGTAAGTTATTTAAGAAACTACAATATAAATAATATACCACATGTATACTTCGCAGTCTTCATCAATCGTCTTAGCCAAAGCTCGAATTAATATGTCGTTAATTCTAAAAACTGCTACAATGGAAAACCTGCTGGTATTTAGATAGAAAATTTCGTTATAATTGAGTGAAATAGCACTTAATACCGAGTTCATTCACAGTTGACAGTTAATTGTATCATTTCTTTTGTCAGAATAAAAGTGTTTATATCGAATGATTGTGAAATTATTATCCAATAGACTAACGGGCGCAATTATCGAAATTGGTATTTCTTCGTTTTGTCTCGTATTTGTGTAACAATAGGATGTCCTTCAGTAGAGCAGAGATAATAAATAAAGTAAAAATATTTCATAATAACACATTTTCAGTTGAGGGATATTGATACGGATTTACGTTTTATGGCCCTCAATGACTTGATAGTTGCCATACAGTGTGATAAACTTGAAGATAACTTTTTCACCGGCGATGTATGCTTACATGGACATTAACTTTTTACGTTTTTAGGTTGTTGACTCGGTTTTGCAACTTTTGGATGATAGTAATAGTGAAGTACGAACTAAGGCCCTCAATGCGTAGGTGTAGATATAAAGCAAATGATTTTTTATTCTTAGCGCATGTGAAATATTCCCTAACACAAAATGCTCATTGGCCGAAGATATCGTTAAGGTTTTCTTAGAAGGCATGCTGAGTGGAGAAACAAGTGTATCATACGGCATTGGTAAGAGATTCACAAATGATATTTTATCTATCCCTTTTTTTCAAGGTCTAAAATGCATTATCAATTCCGTACCAAGACTTTCTTCTCAACATGTTAATATTTTCGTCTCAACTTGCCTTCCACATCTTATTCAAGCAGTTAAAACTGATAAAAAGGATATTCAAATTGAAGCTTGCGAAATTTTGGCAGATACAATGTCGAAGTAAATAGTTTTAACCTTTATCGTTATTTTTGCCCCAAATTGTATTATAAGAATACTTGCTCCACAGATTTGGCGACCAAGTGGGCCCTAAACGGAATGAAATTATTGACTGTATGTTCGGCGCTATGAACGGTGACCAGCCCGCTTTGCGTAGGCGTGCAGCTCATTTGGTGATTGGCTTCCTAAACAATGATGAAGTTCAAACGGCGGTTTTGAATTTTGTCCGCAAACGTGTCAACCGAATTATGGGCAACACCTCTTCTGATATGTACCCATTAACCATCTCTTATGTGAAAATTACGCTTATCTGCCTTAATGGTCTATCGTAAGTTCAGTTATTTCATAATTATTATTTCACGCCTAATGAGTTTTTGATTAGTTTTACTATTGAATATTGTCTGAAATTATAGCCTTCAATCGAACATACTTAGAAGGAATATAAATTATTGTTTGGATTGTGCTTTTGTAAAGCAGATCTTTCCCCCTTTAGTTTTAAATTCATTTCTGGATATCTTTAGGTTAGTTCAAGATAGATTTTGAGAAATTTCGACAAAATTGCCCCCTTTATGACAAAGTTTATTGCTGCGCATTTATTATCGCGCTCTTATAAACGAGTATTCAATCATTTGAGAGCAGACCCAAGTGAGCTAATTTTAAGCTACTATTTGGAACTGATATAATTCTACTTGCCTAATCTATAGCTCTACTTCCGATTTTACTTGCTATAACATAACAAGACAATATTGTTTTCAATCTGTATTGTGGGAAAGTAACTAGTTGGTTATTATTAAAGTCTGAAGTAGGGAAGGAAGGGTAATTTGTGATACCGATGTGTTATTATTTCGCTTAAATTTTGGTATCCGTTTTCACAATATTAATCTCATTGGTTGCTTAAATTTCTTAAATTCACATTCCTTTATCCTTGTCTTAGGAAGCACTCATTTTATGTTCTCAATATTCGGCTCTCATTTATCAATTAATTACCTACTTTAATTGGTATGTCACATCTGAATAGAAATTAATCAAGATTAAATAAACGATTCGACTTCCCATAACCGGAATAGGATTACCACTACTTCATGTCATGTGTAGACAGTAACTATGAAATTAATATTGGTTATTGATAGTGGCGGAGTTGAATTGAAGAATTTTCACTAAGCACCTTCTCGGTTGACCATTGCCGAATTTCCGATCCGAGCTATGGATATTTTTAACAAAACTCATCGTGTAGAGTGGAAGCATAGTTGAGTACTGATAGATGCCCTCGTGGTTATACAAATTGGTTATTTTGCTACTGTATTTTTGTCTCGTTATGACATCTTTACAACTGATCATTGCGGTTGGTTATCAATTGAATACTTCATTATAACGGTTGCTGTTGAAAGGAATTTGTCCTCTATCCCTCTTATTGGGGGCAAATGGTAAGCTGCTCATATCGATTTTGTGTTAATAAACTGATTCTTCCTCCTCAGTTTGCTTTTTTAAAGTATTGATTCAAATACCCCTCACGATGAACATTTTAAAGCATTCCTTTTCCGATATCCTTCGTTTGCTCACCTATAAATGTTAGTCTTCTCAGATTTATTAAACTAACAAGGAAATAAGTGAATTGAAAGGACAAATGCCTGTGAATCTTGTAGGAGGCCCCCCCCCTATCGAAAGTTGCTGAAGCTTGTTTCTTTGTATTGGGAGTAATATAAATCACTTTGTTTAATGTCTCAGGAGGATTCTATCTCCATTGTTGCCCATGGCAAGAACCTTTCCCCATTACTTGAAGTTTTTTCCCCAAAGTAGTGATTCGTCCTTACTATTTTGTCTACATTACTAATGAGCGTTATCTGCTAATTAATTCTATAGTCAACTCATTAACCCCTATCTCAGCGACCGATCGACTCAACTCGTTCTCTGTATTGTTTTATTTACTTCTCATTTCCTCTTCCATCATTCCTGTTGCGCTGGTGGTGTCCAGTGGATCCCTGTTCTTCTTCACCATTTCGATTGTTCTAGTATTCGGGAGAACTTAGCCCCTAGTTGAGTTAACTTTACCACAAAGATTAACCGCACGAGTAATTTTTATGATGTTTATATTAAATTTTCCCCATGTCTCTCAAACATCGCTACCTTCCCGCTGCATGCAGAGGCAATAGTCGATTAACTCGTCGGCTATTGAATGGGGTTAGACATTTGAATATCAAAGTTTATACTTTCTTACTTTATTCCTATAGAAAGTGCAGTAGGAGTACTACTTCACTTCTATACTGACACTTATTAAGTGCTCCTTATTTTGCAAACTTTAATGCCTAGAGCATTAAGTTATTGAAAGCTTTTGGTATCATGAAACTCACAATAGACCAGCTTTTTTGCCATTTTCAACATGAGAGGCACTCAGTGCGTCTACAATTTGTCAACAATTAGTTTGTTTCTCTAACTTTTCAGCCACAACGCAGAGCGTTTGGCTTCCAAAGCCTCGGATATTCTCTCTGATTTTCTTATCGGTTTCCTCCTTGATACCAACATCAACGAGACACTAATGCCTCGATTGAATCCGGAATTTGGCGATTCAGACCCCGATGACGCTGTAAATGACTTCAAGGAAATAGGCCTTCAATGTCTGGAGAATCTATTCAATGCTCGTCAGCGTACCGCCTTCCAGTCATCCCACCTGTCTCGCTTTTTGGACCCCCACCTCAATAAGGTTAGCGGCTACTAGTTGACTACTTATAGCTTGGTGGAGGGGGGGGGCTAGTTTTTATTGAAAGCGTGTCGTCTCGTCACATGATTAGGTCTTCGTATTGCTGTCTGTGATCTTCATTATTATTAAGTAACTCAATCTAAATGATTTAATGGCTACTCTTAACCACCATTTTGTCGGCACCAATTTCAAGCAAAGTCAGAAGATTGGAAAGCAATTGAATGCCAGTAAGAGTTATAGTCAAAGAACACTTCTCAGAAAAGAAAGAGAAACTGGTGTTTTAATTAGCCCCTCGTAGGCGAATATTAATTAACTTGGATAGAAAGTAGAAACGCTGAATGTGTACCATCTGACTTGGTAGACTATTAGAGAGAACTTGTAATTGGCGATGTAAAACGCTCTAATCAGCAATGCTTTGTGATATGGCTTATGAAGTTTTTTTTTCTTAACCAATCTCCGAACCCGGTGATATAAATCTGGTGGAGCGAGGGTAAAGGGTGTAGCGAGACTTGAGCCTCTGCAGCTCAATGCGTTGTCTGTGCCAATCGAGTGGAAAAAAACTTGTGATGGAGGGTGCAATAATGAAAGTGAAATCATTGAGCAAGCAGCAAATGACTTCTAATTCGATGAATATTTGATTGGGATAAAGGTGGG